TGTTCCTGGTGTAGATCGATGGTGGTGAATCGGTCATGGACTTGAAGTCAGTGATCAAGGAGAGAGCTGGCATCATTTTGGAGACGATCGACCCTTCTTATTTGACGCTGTTTACCCCAAATAGCGACGACGTAAGAGCGAGGATTCGGAGGGCTTTCATTAGAGGCTCTTAAGCTGATGCATGCGTCTAGAGAACTTTATTCAGTGAAGATACTGCAGGCAGCATTCAGGGGTTTCCCAGCTGGCAGTCCGACTTACGTGCTGGCCCTTGTTCACGTTTTTAACTGGAGCATATTGGCGTTGGCGAGAGCAAAGTGGATAATCTTCAGCCGTACGAGATGGTTGCACGCCGGCTTAAAGACTGCCCCGAAGTTAAGCTCCTATAGACAAGATTATAAGCTCTGCTGAGCGTCATGACAAAGGTTTTACTCCATTTATCGTGTTGAAAATCCGGTGGGAACTGGAAAAACTTAAATGGCATGCAACCTTCAAGTGACGGTGTGTATTCTCATTTATTGCTGCGGCTTTACGCGGAGATAAAGCTTTCAAACCGTGCGTTCGGAGCTCGAAAACACCATACAAGTTTGGCGAAAGCAAGGGAACCAAGCCCTGTATGCTTTTCCTGGACGAGTTTCCGTGTGCTGGGTATAAGGACACCCTACACCAGTGATGTCAGCAGAAGAGCACCGCCCTCGTACAGTTCGAGCATCGTACTTGCGCGTAATGCGAAATGCGTTTCTAGCTTTCAAACTACTGGTGGTTGTGAACTTGACGAATGGAAGCGGGTTGGAATTGCCGTGTACTGGCGAGGACCATGCGGTGTTAGGCCATACTTGAGTAATGTAGTATTATACAGAGTGGAGGTAGTGTTTCTTCTCTTTCTACTGTTGCTCTCGAATACAAATGGCTCGATATTCCTGGTCAGCTGAAGAGAGACTTGCAAAACAGTCGGCCAATACTTGCTTCGCTTTGCACTAGAGTACTTCCAAGAATACTCTAGCGATGACATGGCTGACCTCGGCATCTACCTTAGCAATATCGTGGACTGGTTGGGCCCACGATTCGTGGGCCTCCGAATATGGCATTTTTATTTAGTAGACAAAGGAAGACAACATACATTATGCGTTATCTCCTCTATACTCTATCAAATAAATTATGTCATTAAACGAAGACGGCAAATAAATAACGGAGTAATGGAGACCACTAAAATGTGTTACCTTAGTTCTCCATTGAGAAACATGTACAATGTACGGTATCAATTGATGCTGTTGACAGTGCTAGAATCCCAATAACTACGGTTCTCACGGAGGAATAAGATCATATCCAGCGTTGCAGGTTGCAACCCTTGTCTTTGATGACCAAATGTCACCCGCGCAACACTAAAAAAGCGTTCCACCACGTTAGACGTTGGTGGAATCGTCTTCAATTGCTCGTAGGAAACAGCGGGTCCGGCAATCCGGCGGCGCTTACGAAGACGTTCGACAAACGAAAGATCTTCAGCGGGAGTATTCGAGGATCACCTCGTCATACTCGTCACGACACGGTCGGAAGTAGAACCCCGAGATCTGGGCGTTGGTGTAGGCGCTGCCGGGTCGTGTGATAAGAACCATGGTAGTTACAAGAGTGGCTGGAAGCAGGTGAGGCGTATTGACAAAAATGCGAAATAGCTGACAGTTGAGAAGACCCAGAGAAGGTTGGAGTCGATCGGTGGTATAAGAGAACCTTTAATAAATTATGAAATCATATCTATACAGAAAATCAATTATCACATGGTCACGTATAGATCTTTGAAATAAATAATTTACTAAGAATTGTGGTAAATAATGTTATAGTAAATGTATATTTCGGAGGCCCTGCCCACGAATGCGAGCTCTGAGGAGTCCGTCTGAGGTGCTGATAGTCGGTTTGTTCTACTCCAAAGCTGGAATTTCAGGATGACGGACGAATGCACTGTTCTGATCGATGCTCACTTTGCGTGCCATACACTCCAGGAACCATTAAGGCGAAAGTCGTTTTGGCCAGCGATTATTGAGATAAGCTAGAGCAGCTGAAGCGCTCATACACGTTCATACGTCCAAACGCAGATTTGCTGCTGCATTTCGTCTTGACTGCGGGTATGTCTCCTGTCCGTTGATGGAGACTCTGCATAAAATACTACAGTTGTTGGCGATGTAGTCTGCTCGACTGCAATCACCACGTACTGGACGATGAGATGAAATTTCAAGCACTAATCGACGCTTCCATCGTTCTAGCGAATCGTCATGGTGGTGTCAGTGGAGTGAGGCTCGCGTCATTTTTGGGCATGCTTTTGTATGAAATGGGTGTGATTTCGGAACGTGAAGACTTGGCGATCCCGTCGGACTTAGAATAAGGTCGTCATTCCGTTTCTGATACATCCGACCGTGACGTGGCCGGAGTGGTTTCTAAAAGGCTGGGAAGACACGTCGGCCAATTTCGCCAACTTGGTCTACGCTACCAACTCCAATAATATCAACCTTCATGTATCGTCAGTGCGAATGCTGGAATGAGTTTGATTTACCGAAGTGGTAGGTAGTATCCCGAATAATTCGTCGATTCACTTGATATTCACGGATACGATAAACGGGTCACTCACCATGACGTCAACGTTGGATGGACCTGGAAGGCCTACGGGCGTACTGCCATATATCAAAGTGTCCCGGATGAGAGCGTTGAAAACCTGGATCTCAAATGATCCCAAATGCACCAGCTTCGATAAGGAAATGCTAGTTGTCTTGATTGATCTGAACCCGAACAGTGGTTGGTGATGATGAGTAAGCCGTTTGAGGTGCTAAGCTTAACATAAGTTGATTCATGGTTAAATCTACAACGGTGCATTTCTTTTTGTGTATTTTGAACGATGAATGAATGCCGATGCACATCTTCCGTAAACCCTGGTGAAATAAAACACAGCTAGCTACCTATTCGTGGAGCGATTCTCACCACCTCGCAACATAACTTGTCCTATAATTCTGTAACAGGTACGCGGTTGAGACTACGGTTCGTCATACAATTGTGGAATCATGCGGTATCACGGTGCGGACGGCCAGTTCGACAACAGACAAGCAATCAGTAGCGACAGGAGGTCTTGTAGGTCGGCGGCACGAACCTGACGAAGGACAGGAGATACACGACGCTGGAGAGGTCCAGGAGCTGCACGGAGGACGTCGTGTGGTTGGTTGCGGGCCTGGAGAGTGGAACGGTGGCGGTGTGCGCCAGCGAAAGGGCGGCTGAGCGGCCGTAAACGACGGAGGAGCAGCATTGAAGTACGGGGGCTTTTGGAGCGACGGAGACTGCTTTACTTTAAATTTTGCTGGCTTGGAAGCGAGCACAATTCTGGAACGCGTGACTGGTGGCTTCGGAGATGGGGGACACGAACGGAAACACGGAGGATCGACGGCTGACGGGCGATTGGGCGGACTGGGACTGGGCTTGGCTACGGTAGCAGGACTGCGTCAGGAACAACTCACTGGGGAGTTCGACCTGGAGGTGCGGCCTCGTGTAGGAAGACCTACGTGTGGTTGGCGGGCTTGAGAGCTTGTTAGTTGTCGTGAAGGACGTGTGGCTGCTTTGGCAGTTGGACGGAACGGAACAGGAGGACGAGAGAAGGCAGTAGTAGTGTATTAGTGTTAATAAATAGGATTGTAGAGCTATCTGGGTGCTCGATCAGGCGGGGCTTCGAAGTTCGTTGCTGGTGTGACGAAGTGGATCTCATCGGACGGATGCAGCGGAGAGGTACGCGACTTGCTCAACGAGCCGGGCAAGATAACAGGCCCGCTAAAATTCGACCTGTACAATGTCATCTACATTTTCATGGTATTGTTGATTACTTTGACGTAATGATTTAACTCTGGTAGTGACGGAGGCAGGCTGCCTGCGCAAAAAAGACATTCAATCTATGGATTTCAATAGGCAGGATAAATTTTATCCTGGTTATTGCAAGTACATTAGCGGTATTAAATTTTGCAGCAGCAGCTCAGTTTTTGTTTTGGCGGCGCTGCTGATGTAGCAATTTTAGCCAATCAAAGTCGCAATTAATTGACTACCCCTTTTCAAACTTCTTGCAGCAGCAGCAGCTCATTTGGACTAGGATCCAGTATTGCTCCCCCCTCCCTTCTAGGATGCCTCGCTGCTTCAAGCGATAGCAGCTGTTATGCCACGTGCAAGACGTCCTAGTGACGAGGGAGGCTTCAGACCTGTTACGAGATGTGCTAAGCGATGAAGACTCTAATGAAAACGATCTGGACGAGTTTTGGGAGCACAAGTATGAGCACATCCAGGGTACCCGTTATTCCACACGGCCGTCTCACTACCAGAGGCGAAAAAATCGCTGACACAAGCAACTTTACAATCGCGAGCACACGTCTGAGACGGACTTCTTAAAAGACTTTCGAATGAAGCGCTCAGCGTGTTTCGGCTCAGTTGCCATACTAAAACATGATCCACATCATTCGCGAAGAGCACTCCCTCCACTTGACTTGTCGACCGTTTTGGAGTCTTTCCAGCTGTATATGTTCGTTAATGGTCCAGTAGTGTTTGACAATTCCGTATTAGCAGTTTCGTCAGCAGCCTCTTGTCGGAGGTTGACAGAGTTGAGGTTCTCATCCTCGTGAGACGTAGCTTCAGCTTCACCTCCCATCGACACTACCAAGACGCCCTTGAGTCCAATGCACACTGAACGTTTGGCTTGGATCTTTGCTCACCAGAAAATAATGCTGCAGCTCGACAAGTATCGGTTTTTGTTGCAGAACGCGAAAAGCAATCTGGGCCAATCAGAACGCAGGAAAAAATGTGGCTTTCTGCACACAAAAAACATCTTGCTGCTGCAAAATTGAATACCACTATTACTGCCCGAATAACAATCGATCCAGCTACAATACTTTAGACGTCAAATAATAACAAAAGCGATGTCGCGGTGGTGTTCAAGCTTGCTACTGCAGTGTTACTTCAGATATCTTTTAATTAACAATCTTTTGAGCATACAAACCGTCAACCAAAGCCTCCTACTCTCGTTGGGGTTCCCAACATCCATAGTCATCGCAAGAAGTACACTGCAACACGAAGGATACACTTTTTTTATCGCTGAAATGCATAGTTTGATAACACTGCACTCTGGTACAACAGACGATGGTCCTTCAGTTGACCTTTTTATTTTTGCCAAAAAGGCCTGTTTTAACATTTTGTTTTGACTGTTAAAACATGGTCGAACGACTTGTTTCTAAACAAAATCATTAACGCAACATCTAGCGCAACGTAAGCTTTAGGTTGCGCTAAGGGGGAGTGGCTATCGTCCGCACATTTTCCCGACACGCCACTTCGCCAAGCCACACAAGAGAGACTTCTACCTTGACTATGCTCGGCCGTATCGCTCTCCGCAAGGCTGCGCTCAGCTCGTCCAAGCTGTCGTCGGCTAAGATGATGCGCCCTATGGGCCTGCACACCACGGGCGTTGTGCGCAAGAACGAGGAGGCCTCGGAGGAAATCCAGGTGCCTACCCAGGGTCTGCTGGAGCAGGCTGGCCTGACGGACTGGAAGATCTCGGCCCCGATCATCGGCGCCCTGGCCATCCCCGCTATCTCCAACCACGTACGAATTCGACTGCAGTGCTATGATCAGCTAAGAAAGGCAACCGACTGACCCTGTTCCCGTGGTGTTTTAAACAGTTCTACGTGCTGAACGAGGAGTCGCAGCTGGCCTGCTGCTTCCTGCTCTTCTGCTCGGCTTCTTACAAGTTCGGCGGTGAGATGATCGCCTCGTACTTCGACGAGCGCGCCGCTGCCATTCTGGGGTGAGAATCGCGATCTCTGAAGCGTATTTTAAGGTATATGGAGCATTAATTTGTTGATTTTTTACAGTGAGCACAACGCCGTGGAGGACGCTAACTTGGACCTGGCCAAGGAGACTCTGGAGACCCACAAGGCCATGCTCAACATCCACGAGGACATCGCCGCCGTGGCTGAGGCCCACAAGGAGGCCGTCGCCCTCATGTGCGAGGTGCAGGCTTACAAGCTGCGCCACAAGACTCGCGACACGTTCATCAAGAACCTTGAGTCCATCCGTGAGATCGAGGGCAGCTACAACCTGGAGCTGCAGAAGAGCATGGTGGCCAACGCTACCAGCAAGGTGCGCGCTGTCGTCCAGAAGGGCGACAAGAAGCTCAAGGACGCCGCCTTCAAGCACGCTCTGGACATTCTGGGCAACGCTAAGGTGGACGACAGCAAGGAGGACGACGTGGCTGCTCTCTTCACCAAGGAGCTGCGTGCCTACGCTTCGGACCTGGAGGCCAAGCAGGGCCAGGTGGTCCAGCTCACGGCCGAGGAGCAGAGCGAGCTCCAGGCCGACTTGGACGCTTACATGAACCGCTTCGGCCTCGAGGACGCCGACTTCAAGGCCCCCAAGGAGGTCAAGGTCGAGCTCATGTAAGCTGCCGTTATCGTCATCTGAGCTGTTGGTACCTGCAGTGTCAGCAATTGTGGGCGATGGATGCAGAAACCACTTGGCAGTTTAAAAATGAATGGATTATCCATCTACTTGAAAGAATAAGCAGAGCGGAAGAGCCACAATATCCGTTGTCTTCATAAAGCATTGCACTCGCTGTACCCTCGCTGAAGGAAGACAGTCTAGATCATCAAAGTGTCCATGTTGGTGACAGGCTATTAATTTTTACAATACCCTGCTCATTTTGGGTCAAAATACGCTGAAGGTTATATGTTTCCAAGAGCCCACAAGTTTCGTATATAGAGGACAGAGTCTCGTGAATAGAGATTCAACGGTATGCGAGCCGTTTGTTTGGACGGTAGTTTGTGGCATTTTTGAATTCTTCCTCGAGAGACGCAAGCAAGCTCAAGGCCAAGCGCAGGGACCGACAAGAAGACCGAGACCGAGACAGAGCCATGGGCCGAAGGAAGAAATCTACCAAGAAGATCCAGACGCGCAAGAAGCAGGTAGTATCTACCGTGTTCAAGTGCCCCTTTTGTTCGCACGACGAGGCCGTCGAGTGCAAAATGTACGTCAACTTCCCCTCACTGTAGATGCATTACCGTGATTGCTAACACTACGTTCTTACGGTACTCCTTCTACCGAATAGGGATCGCGAACGCAACATTGGCCATTTGTCTTGCCGTGTATGTACCGAAAGCTTCCAGACTCCTATTCACTGTACGACGATCGAATAACTGTACTGCTGCACCACCATGCCGTTGGACACTGACCATTGCATGACCTTTATCTGCAGATTTGAGCGCACCAATTGACGTATACACTGATTGGATCGATGAGTGTGAGGCTCTGAACGCATAGGCATAAGGTGCAGCAGCTCCACCCAGCCGCTCCACACTATCGAAGATCCTGTAGGGACATACGACGGCCAGCACGTTTGAACTGAAGTCCGCAGTTAACCCAGCGAGATGATCACCCACCGTCCCCAGCTCAAGCTGAGGTTGTTCTGGTTTTACGTTGCGCGAACATCTTCAGCTAGTCAAGACGGACGCAACGTGAACAAGTTTTAGGTAAATACAGTAGACAGGGTGGGCTGAGCCATTGATGATTTTGGTATAGCTCATGTTGAAGTTTGTGATCAAGCTGTAAGGATCCGCTAGCGGTCGGCTTTGTCTTTCTTCTTCTTCTCCTTCTGCTTGCGACGTCGTGCTTCCTCAGCTTCTCGAAGACGTTTGCGGTCCTCCAATTTACGCACTCTCGCGGCCAGCACTTCACGTCGACGATTGAACTCTAGCGGGTCATTGCCACTCTCAGCCAATTTGTCGAGTTTGCGTTGCTCCTTCGCAATGGCCAACTCCTCTTCCACATCGCGAAGTTTTTCGGCCTTGCGTCGCTCACGTGCTGCCTCAGCTTTCGCCAGTTGCTCCTGTTGAGCAGCCTCCTGTTCCGCCAGCTTTCGTTTCGCGAATTCCTGAGGATTTTCTTGTTGCAGACGTGCGAGTTCTGCTTCTTCGTCGGCGCGTCTTTGTTCTTGTTGAGTCCGTTGTGCCTCGCCTTCAGCAGCCTGACGACGAGCCTCAGCGCGTTGAGCTGCAAATGCACGACGCTCGTCCTCCTGTTGCATAACTAAACACAAGTTAAGCATACCTGCATTGAAGATAAAGTCTCGACCGAGTGTGGAGAACGCTGCGAACTCCAGTGGTGGTCTTTCAACCTCTTCCTCTTGCTTGTCATTGCCCTCGAACAGGTCAGAGGCAAGATACCCGAGCAAGAAGTCGAAAACAAAGTCATCCTGGAAGTAGGCCACTCGTTTTCGATGAGTTTCAGGAAGTACCTTCCAAAGTTCAGCAAAGACAGCACGGAGACTAGATCTTAATTCTTCAGGGCCTCGCTGTTCTCTTCGATGCTTACTGCGTAGCTCTTCCATTCGAGCAGCTTCGGCGAATTGGTGTTTCTCGAAGAGAACTTCGAGTGCTGCCGTGAATTCACGTCCATCTTGTAGATATTGAGCCAGCGCTGTCACATCCTCGTCGGACTGTGCTCGCATCATGACGGTATCGTCCCAGAAGACTATCTTCCCCATCGGAACGTAGTTAACCCACCACGTTGGGTATCGTCGGTACAGAGTCATGGGGTGAGCAGCATCCACAGCTCCGTCATCAGCGATGAACTCCGTCTCGATACTAACAGATTTAAGTTCTTGACTGACCTCACCCCGTTCCTCTGAGCCCTTCGTCTGCTCGCGAGTAATTACAGCATGAACGAACAGGTAGTTTTTGTGGCTCACGATTCTGTGAGAAAAAGTGAATCGATCATCGCGCATACCACCGAGAAATGTGGGGCACGCTATACCATCGAGTGGCAAGGTCTCGAAATCAGGTTCAACACGAGCTGTCACTGGACCGACAGTGAGATTACGAACGGATAATTTGGTCTCGCGATCTTGCAACAATGTTTCAAGCCCAGCGCGCATTCCTCCACTCAGCACGATGGCATCTCGGCCTCGGTGCTTCGCCTTCCAGCGAAAAAGTAGATTCAGTAGTTGCTCTAATTGTCGGCGGCATGAAACCCAGTGCTGAGAAATATCTTGCCTGTCATACAGTTTCCACCTACCAACAGCTTCTTCTTGAGCAGATTGAGAACCAGAAAACGTAGCTTCTTCACGCATAGCGTCCACATGCTTCGCATCTGTGAGTATCAGTGGAAGCTCGATGCATAGCACGAATATCATAATTGTCTTCTTTTTGAGAGCTTTCTCAAGTTGCAGCCATTGCAGTTCCCCGATAACTGCACCCTCTTGCTGGGTAATTGGAGTCAAGAGACGACTATTGCATGTCACGACGTCATCACGAGGAGTGCTTCGCATATCACACATGAAGATTCCAACGTCGCCAGTCTGGATGAATTGTGCAGCTTCAAGTCCACTGTCCACCGTTGAATTGTTCTCCTTCTGACTTTGGTTTCTTAGTTCGTGTTTTTCCTCTGCTTTCATCTGTTCTGAAAAGCTATTGCCACTTCCAGAAGGCTGTTCGCTGGTTTCAGGTTGCTCTAAAGTAATATGTTGTGATTGTTCAGGAGGCAAGGCACTGCTGGCTTCAGGCAGTAATTTCGAGGTTATCTCATCGGTGGTGGATTCATGCAGCATCAACGACAATTGGTAGTCTGCATAAATCTTTTTCGCCTCTGAGAGCACAAGTTGCGCAGCTTTTGAGGTGAGAACTTCGTGATTACGGAAGAATGGAGCGATGTCGGCTTGTGAGCGCAGGAACCAATTACTGGTATGAGCGAGAGTTTCACGTACGTTCGGAACGTTCCAACACAAACGATACCGCTGTTGCAGGCGTTGACGTACCTTTCGCCGTAGTGATACCTCTTGTAAAGCTGCTTCATCATTCTTCCCAGCAGAATAATCGCGAGTATTTAATCCTCGGCGAACCCATTCAAAGCACTCGAATGCAGCTTCATGCATCGGAACTTGGCCACCCAAGTGCAAAATCATGTCAAGGCCGCACCACGATACTTGAACGCGCTTTCTAATAGCCACCCACAAACTGTCAGTCGACTCGTCCATCTGTTCGGGAAAGTTCGAGCTTACAGCCACGAAATTCAAAGTAGAAGACGTTCCAGACGGTGTATGAAAGCTCCCACGACGGCTTTCAGAATTCGCAATACCCTCGAAACGGTATACGTATCGACGTTCTGGTACCAGTGATGGAATCTCAAAGGCATGTGGGTGATAGCGCGTTAGAATTGCCACTACGCGGACATCTTGATTGGCGAGGATGTCTGTCACAACACAAACTACGCGAGCATCTGCGTTGATTTCAAGGAGAATTGGTACAGTATAGGTCATTTCCACTGGATCATCGGGACCATCCTCGGCAAGAGGTTCTTCGGGGATTACTTTTTGAGTCTTCTTAAGAACCATTCGCCCAATCACAGGCCCGACGACAGCCTTTGGTAAAGTTACCCGTGGGAAGAAACGGAGAGTTTCATCGAAGAATCCTCGCCGATAATCCGTCACAAAACGATAGCTTACGTATGTTCTGCATCGAGTCGTCAACTGGTTGGCGGTATCACCGGCTGATGTTTGCTGATTGCCACGCGCTACCACGGAAACGTTTAAGCCACTTGCAATACTTGCGGTGTTTGAGATACTCGTGTATGAAAATCGCTTGGAGAAGTACCCTTTGGATATCGCTGCACTTTTAGCCATTACGGGAACTGCTCCTTTTGCTCTCTTCTGGTCCCGATGAAGCAGCTCACGAGCCTCACTGATGGATCCAATACACGTGAGTGTAAGCTTCTCACTAAGCTTCTCGTCTGTTATCTCGAAGGAAATCGAGCTGCCATTCTTACGGCAGCATATCACTGCAACTTCTCGATGGACTCGATCCACAAATTTCCACGCAAACAGTTTCTCAAATAACTTTACAATTTCTGTTCGAAGAGCAGGATAAGCTTTAGGCGCCCCCCACGTCATCACATCCCCTGAAATCACCAGAACAAGCTGCTGCACAGGATTCTTGCTCGAAGAGTCAAGCGCCTCATCAATAACTTTCCAAGACTGAGATGAAAACAGGTTAACAGTGGGAATGCTGCTTGGTTCGTCTAGTGATCGTGCAGCGCCACTTGAGAGATTCTTTTGAGTTTCCATTTCCACCCTATTGCAATATTCGTTAGCTTCATGACTAACATTCGCAACGACAATGCGGTTGATCCCAAATGTAGTGGTGAACGCGACTTTATTGCCGCTGCTCTTGCTGCCATATTTCAGTTCACGTTCAGCGAGGTCGACCCAGAGTTGGTTTTGGTATAGTTGCCACAGCTCGAACGCGATACCTCGGAGTACTTCCACGACTTTGACTAATGTGGCATCAGCTACACTGTGGCTTCCACTTTCGTTGAGAATGGATCGGAGATTGTCTTGATTGAAGTACAGATCCGCGTCTTCGTTGAGAAGCATGAGATTGCTGGTGTATCTGAGAATTCGGTTCATCGGAGGCATTCCCCACGCCACACGATACACTTCCTGCAATCGGTATCGTAGCTCTGCCCGAAGATGCCGGAAATCATCTCTATCTTCGTCATGCCCATGACTTTCTACTTGTCTTGCAAGACGGACTACGAGACTGGCAAGTTCCTTATTGGTGAATGCACGACTCATGCCCACTTGGCCGCCAAGGTGAAGAAGTAGTTGTGGGCTGGAAAGAGGTTCAGAAAAAAATTCATCTTCGATGCCATGCCAAGGATTACAATTCTGCTGGCCCTCGTCATCACGATCACCAAGGGTGTCGCCATTGCGGTGGCTTGTTTCTCCAGCTAGCTGTGCTGTGAACGAAATCATCCCGTTTGCCAGAATCTGGGACCATTGTGAACTCGGTTGGGGTGGCTTCCTGGCATCAGGTCCCAAAAAGTCAACCATCGAACTGCGGTTTACAACGAGCCATTCCGATGACAATGAAATCAATGTGGGGGTGGAAACATGCCCAAACACAGTGTCGTTATTCTCCATCAAACCCTAAGCCAAAATGCAAATGATAGCGAATGAGATCGATAACAAGCGTATTGATTCAAAACTCGAATGCGTTACCTCGAACTTGATAGCATAGCGAATGCCTGGGTGAAGACCTTCGACTTTGACGATGGTTGGGGTGAATGGTTCCACTTTTGTCTGCGCCGAGAAGCTGCAATTTAACCGTTCAGGTTAGTAATTTGTAAATGCTCAGTGTGTGGATGCGTGCCTACCTTTGCATCGTTGCTGAGTCGACTAGAATACACGAGAGACTGGATACGGACCGATCAAGCTCAACAAGGATTCGTGCAGTCCTGGGCGTAACTCGACCGATAATTGGGCCAAGAATTAGTTTTGCTTCACCATGATTTTGTGTGTAGAATTTCACATCACTTGAAGCGCCGAGTGGATGTGGCACTAACTCGAGTACGCAGTATTGTTGCGATTTCAGTGCCCCCGCGGGAATTTCTTGTTGGATGGAGTAGCAGGTGGACAGTTCTTCGTCGGCAAAAGTAATTCCGGTACTGACGGCCTGCTCCGTTGAATTTGACATAGAAATTGGCCCCACAACAATTTGTTGGAAAGATAGTTTCGTAGAATTGTCGGTGATCGTGGTTCGTGAGGAATAGGCACCACAGCAAACGATTACAACATGAAACTTCGGATTCTACACATACCCTAATGTCAGTGTAGATGAAAAATAACACGTCGGAGCCATATGCAAAACTAACATACCTGTCGTAGTTTGCGAAATATTAAATGAATCAAACGAACTTGCTCTTTTGGATACGTTCCCCACGATGTTGCTCCCAGACCTGCTAAGTAACTACATAAATCACCCACATCATCGTTCTCTCTCGAATTTTGATGCCACATCTCCATTAACTCGCCGCGTTCACCGCGTTGCGATACCACTGGTATATCGCACATAAGAACAACAGTATTGACGCTTTCAGTTTGGTTCAATGGAGTGCCTTGAGAGTGGTCGACTCGAAACCAACACTCTAAAGCAGCCCACTGGGAAGTCGACAGCAATGTTTCAGGAAGCTGTACGAATGGTGTCAACTGTTCACTGTCCAGTATCGCCTCAAGTGTATCGATCATCAACACCGCCACACCGCTCTGAAGTCGATACAAATACTTGTCGGAAGGCAACGCACTATGTGATCGAAAGTCACCAACTTGCTCGTACTCCGCCAACACGCGTTGAACAGTTCTCAGAAACGATACGGGAATATCATCGCGTATCAGAAGTGCTCGTAAAACACCAACACTTGGAAACCAATGAGCACCACGCGCAAGTAGATGCTGACTTTTAGGAGTGTTCCAATGGCGGCGTACACAGCTTCTCACAAAATCATACAGCTTTGACTCCCCAACTTTCTGCTGGTCTTGAGCGAGAAGAGAATATTTTCGTTGAAGTTCATGAGCCAGTGCGACATAACTCCCAATGTGCACTGTAACGTTAGCTTGAAGCGAACCAATGACAGGGAAAAAGTGGTCTACCATGTTCCCGATATAAGATGCCGCCGGGTTTACTCCAAAAGATGTGAAGCAGTCCGTGGTGCCATTTAAGAAGCGATCTTCCGCCACAATTAAGAGTCGAAAAGCTGGAAGATGCTCGTGCGGGGTTTGAAATATCCCTGCTGCGTCATTTTGCAATCCCTTGAAAGCCTCGTGCCACATCAAAACTATGAGTAAACCAAGATAATTCCATGAGCGACAATTATTGAGCGCAGTCCTAAATGTACCTGGAAGGATAGATCGTATATGCGTCCTGGTGTCAACTTAGTTAGGCTAAATGTTGTCGGCCTGTACGGCTTAACTCGTTCGACCACATGATGTCTTTGCAACGTCAGCCGATCTACAGCCACACAAGCAACTTCGCCTTCAGCGTCGCATTCGAGTAGAACTCGAGCGATGCGAGAGGATATACACCCCACAACTGGACCTAGCTGCATGTAACAAATTGCACACACGAAAAAAAACAATATAGTTAGCACAAAGACACATTGTCAGGCTCCAAAGAGACCTACAATTCGGTTGATTTCATGCTGTCCTTGTAGCGGCAAAAGTTGTGCTTGAAACAAAGCATAAGGTGCGTCCGCGACTCCAGAACCCTGTCTTCCACCTGTTGATTCTTCACTGAGACTCCCCAGTGAAGATATGTGAGCGTATTGAGGTTGACTGTCAATTGGCCCATGGCGGATATCTAGCGGGTTTTCCGGAGTTGACTGCGACCGAGTATTTCCTTCAGCACGCAAGAGCACAGAAGTAGACGTGTGCGTGCCGACTACCGGCCCACACACCAGCTGCGTCAATGACAGAGTTGTGTTCGTAATGCTCACTTGGGTTTGATAACTTCCTACGTCATTAAACGAGAGCATGACAACTTGCCGCTTCAAATCGGAGAGATTCCACTCAATAAGCTCTTGGATCGTTCGCCATTGGCGCGCATTTGCTACGCTAGTGACACTCGTCGGGCGGGGGATACCGCTATCGGCAGCCTTCATCTGGACGAAAACAGGATCCCTCGTTAATAGCAGCACTGCCGATGCGGATGAGAAGGCCTTCAAAATGGTTGATATTTGTCTGGTATAGTCCACCTCTCCTCTCTAGCACGGCGAAATAATACCAACCAAGACAGTTAGTAACGAAGCGATGCGCGGTCAATACAACAACTACACACCTCACTCAGTAAATCGAAATGACCCATTACAGGAGCAAGAATCACCCCATCGTCAAGCTCTAGGCAGTTAGCATTATTCTGAGAATGTCCCCATAGATTTCCAATATACGATTGCCACACTGGTAGTGCCAACTCCATAAGATTTCTTCCAAAGATTGCGAATTCAGGTTGCCTTTTTCTCCTCCATTCGGGAAAACCGCTGAACAACACACTTTCATTACTGTCGAAGCTCCAGTTGCTGTGGCAACGAAACAGTTCCCATACACAGGGATCACCCAGAACACGTCGATACTCCTGTTTAATCATGTCCAACACGTACTCATAGACTTCTCCACCGCAGCATGACTTCTGTTGGTATAGTGCAACACAAGCGGTACCACGCGTAATGTTAGCGAATTGTTGAAATACTGATGAATAGTGGTAAGGTCACTTACGACCCCGCGTTCCAGTATCTCGAGCATCGCGGAAACTTTCTGCGGAGAAAGAGAAATACCGTAATGTAACGTAAGCGTTGGAGATTGGAAGCTATCTCTTGCGATCATCTGGTAAACTTGTGCTTTAGATGATCTCAGAGGTCTTTGCTGGCTATTACTTGGGCTCAGGTGATTCAATAGCCGGATCCGCCAACGGCAAGGAACAGGTAAGGACTCCACTCCAAGCGTACGACCTTTTGTCATAACCACTGCAACGCATCGATCACGATCGGGCTTGCGGATACCCAGAAATCGCAGTACGTACGCTGTACCAGGCGATAAGCCAGAAATTGTAAATAGAGCTGGCTGAAAAGACTGAAGCTTACACTCTTGTGTTGGCACAGAGCTATCCATCTCCATCTTGATATCTTCCTGTGGCAACGCAAATGCAAAGCACTTGACCATGGCCGGACTATCTACTTCCAGCAGCACATTAACTCGAGTCGCTTCAACCTACAGACCAGTAAGGCTATATAGTCAGTATCCAAATCGAAAATCTGAAGCCCACAATGCCATACCTTCCCCACAATTGGCCCCACCACGACCCTAATTCTTTCTGCATACTCATCCAGCGATCCAAAATGCATGTCATTAAAATACAGGAACGTCTCAGCATTCTTCAGCCTCTCCACGCGCTCTTCCAATGCCTCCTTCATGATTCTCACAGCGTCACACATCGAAAACAAGCAACTGATCCTGCCCAGCAACGCCTTCGATCTTGGGTGAAACACACACCACTTCAAGAACATGGCAAAAGTCATTTTGTCGCCGTCCTCGAGTTCCACAAAGTCGAACGCCTCATAAGCGACCGACAACGCATCCATTTCGGACAGATTGTCCCCGTCCTCGAGGAGTCCGAGTCTGTAGAGTCCATCGCAGCACGTACTGATCACAAGCGCCAGCTCCGCCTCCACGATGTCGTCCTCGATGTCCAGATCCACCAGTTGAAACACGAAGCGTACCTTATCCGCCAGCGGCCCCTGCGCCAGCATCGCAGCCGTCGTCAGAAGCGTCACCAGGTCCACGCAAGGTGTGTTCTTCTGCTTCCTATTGGACGAGACACAGCGGAACGTGTCGAAAAGGAAATCCACGTGGTGATCCAATTCCGGGAACTCGAGCACGCACTGCAGCTCACGCCGTGTAAGCGCCATGCCGCCTTCCACACCCTCGACGTTCACCCACGTGCGGTAGACGCGCAGCATGCGCTCTAGCCGCGGCAGCGCCAGCAGACCGTTCAGCTCGCGGGCATGGTCCAGCGCCTCCATGTGAGTGCGGAATTCGAGAGTGATGGTCAAGATACTTGAAGCTTCAAGTGAAGCGTCGCAGTTGAGGTGATGGTGATTACTGCACTGAACCTCCAGTATTACGCTAAGCGTTTATGCAAGGTGCGGTTTTCTCATGCTGGAACCTATGCAATGACGACTCGGGCTCCTAGCGCTCGACGCGTACAATGCCGCTTGCCTTGTCTGGTAGTGCATGTACCTACTTGTTCCTGCCGTCTTGTGGATTGGCAGAGCTTGGTGTTTCAGTGTGAAGACAGTAAGCTGCACATCCATCTGTCTTGAACTCCCCAGCAATATAATCTCGCTCGCCGCATGTCAGAAGCGTGGTCGCAAACATACTCAGAACACACAGGGCTGTCTCTCCAGAACCGTAAAAAACGAAATTGACCGAAAAAAGAAGAAAGAATTCACCACAGTGGCCCTGTATACGGCACGCCAAAGCGAACTTCGAATCACCGTCCAAATCTGAAAACCCCCACAGCACATTAGAGACAGCCTCCTCATGCGCTCCTCGTCCTCTCCACGCGGCTCGCTGCGTCGCTTCTTCTCGCGTCGGCGTCGCCGCGTACCTCGCGGTGCATCGGGCCGTACGACTCCCGTGACTGGAGCCGCCGCACAACGATCGCTGGCTGCACGGACGCGGCTGCTGGACTCATGGAGTCTACCAGAGCTCTTTGCGCTGCGAGAGCTCGTACACATCGCCGTGAACAAGACCTTTATTGCGCCAGATGTGCAGCTCGATCCTCCAGCTCTTCAACGCGCCGCTCGTGGCGACGAACCGATGCGTGCAGGTACCAGCAGCTCCGCCAGCTCCAGCACGACAGCTACCTCCAGTATCGAAGACCTCAAACGCCAGCAGCAGCTGCAGACACACGTGGACTCGGCTCTGGTGCGCAGCAAGCGCTTCTACTTCAGTCGACGCGCCGACACGAGGCTGCGGCTCAGTACGAGGAGACAGTTCGTGCGGCTCTTCCCGCTGCTGAGCCGCACGTCCAGAACAGCGCAGCGCGCGCTCTTCCGGGCCTTTGACGCCAATGATACGGGCAAAATCGAATTCGATGAGCTGTGTGAGATGCTGGCTAGAGTGAAGCGGGTCAGGAGCTCATCAGTACGAGACATGGCAGAGCTGGCCTTCACCTGGTTCCAAGGAGACCAGAGCGAGGCTGTGTTGACCCATACAGATGCCAAGCTACTAGCAGTGGCAGTTATGGAGCTTGGAGGTGACAACAAGGTACAGACAGAGCACGGATACGACTTGGTGGCGTCTCTGATGAAGTTGGTGCTGGGACGAGACCAGTATCAAGTGACGAAACAGCATTTCTGCCAGCAAATGGACAGCGAACTAGGCGCACACGCACTGCATGTGCTATTGGCACCGTTTGGTGTAGTAAAAGCACTGCTGGATGAGGAGACGATTCTACAAGAAGTTGACAATACGCGGTGGAAAGCAGGAGATACGGCGTACGTTGTGTCTAGTAGCTGGTGGACGCAATGGCGGAGATACGTGCAACCTGATCACTGCAATCATCATTCTCAACAGAATCCGACAAGAAGTAGCACTAACCAGCATGAGCAGGAAGCAGGAGAGCAACAAGTGCAGGAACAGGAGAGAAATGCTACGCAAGGACAGCACGTTGCGGAGTATCATCCTCGTCCTGGACCTATCACCAACAGGGGTATCTGTGCGAACGAACAGCTAGGAACGTTGCGACCAGGTCTTGTTGAAGACGAAGACTTCGTTCTAGTGTCCTCTGCTGTGTGGAAGCGGCTGGTACAAGTGTATGGAGGTGGACCTGAATTCCCACGACAGATAGTGGAGGTCTCATCATCTGATGAGCAACAGGAAATGCCACCGAGAGAGGAAGACGGAAAGCCAAACGAAAGCACAGGTGTCGCGTTGGTCTTAAAGTTGGGAAATCAACTCGAACAACGAGTTCAGGTGGACCTGTATCCTGTGGTGTTACAAGTGCGTCTAGCACGACATGACTCACGGCACGTCTATCTTGTATACTCCCGACGGTTTTTACTGCACCATACTTCATCTCTCAAAGAAATTGTGCATCGTATGGGCATCTTTCCCGGTGTAAACGCAAGAGAGGTAACAGTTTGGTTGCGTCGTCGCCGTCTTCAGTCGTGGGCGCGTTTAGAATGCAGTCTAGAAGCCCCACACGCTACGCTTGATGGGTTACAGATTACAAGCGCTCAAGAACTGCTTGTGGATTTCCGAGCTCTGGACATTGATGAAAACCCACAAAGCATTGCTCAACAACGTCGACGGAGTAGCATCGCCAGTTTGGCTCCTCGAACGCCGTTTACTGTGCCCATGCTGCAACCCGTGGGGAATGACTTTGTTTGCTGCCCACGTTCCAGCCTTGCAAAGTTTGCCAAGACAGGCGATTGGAAGATTCTGCGCGAGAGTATGGCTGCCGAACGGGAAGCAGCTGCCAATGCTTCTGCGGTCTCTGGACACGTCGGTCCTGGAGGAGTACTTATTGGTTTCGCCAAGCACATGGAAGCAGCAACAAGGACGTCTCGCGGAAGACTGATTCAACACAACGGTCTACGAGCCACGGGACTCATTAATATGGGCAACACATGCTTTATGAACAGCGCATTACAGTGCTTTGTTCACTCGCCAATATTTCGCGAGTACTTCTTGTCGAACAGATACGAAGCAGAAGTCAACAAAAAGAACCACCTCGGCAGTCGTGGTGCAATTGCAGCAGCTTACGCGCAGCTACAGAGCTCTCTTTGGCGCGAGCGTGACCAAGGATACTTACTCCCCGGTCGTTTTCGAGACGATTTTACGCGTATTCGTCGCCACTTTGAGGAAACGCGCCAATATGACGCACATGAATTCATGGTAGCTCTTCTCGATTGCCTACATGAAGACCTGAATCAAGGCTGTCCAATGATTGCAGCATCTGCAGATGATGAAATTCAAAACCAAAGCTCAAAATGCTTGACCTTTGGTAGTTTTAACGGTGGTGGCGACCTGGAAAGCGTTGATGGAGACCAGCAGGTTGACTATGATTCTGCAGATTTATCTTCAGATGACGTTCAAGGCGATGCAGCTTGGAGTGCTTACACAAGTGTAAACTCTTCTGTAGTAGTGGATCTTTTCCACGGACAGATGCGCAGTGAGACCGTGTGCGCTACTTGTGGCGAGCGCAAGTGTACATTCGACCCGAATCTGTTCTTCAGCTTGCCTATTCCCGAGTCGAGTTTTGTTCGTGTCGAGGTGAGCGTGTTGTTACAAGCGCGAAAGCTCCCAGGTGGTGATGACGATGAAAACGACCCGGAAACAGCCCTGCAAAGCGTGCAGCAGGGATTTTGGCTTCGTCGGGGAAGTAATGTGGGAGAGTTATGCGATCGCATCGCAGAAGTTCACAGCCGAGCTGGTGGGAACCGCTTTTTGCTAGTGGAAGTACGTCGGAATCGGATCAAACGAATTGTTGAGGGAGACGAAGTTGTGGACAGACTGACAACGGCTGTACCTGGCTCGCTTTCTGCCTATGAACGTGCTTGGACGCTTGCGGAGATCCCTGTCGTTCCTGCTAGTATACGCGAGTATTTTGACAACGCTAACGTCGCTGATGAGGCGAAGACGATTGCAGCTGAGAAGATCAGAAGCTTTTCCGATCTTCGAGTGGGATCACGTGTTGATGCGAGGGATAACCACAATGACTGGCATTCCGGTACGGTGATTGACGTAGCTGGAGGCGATGATTCCGAGCAACCCCATCGTGTCTGTGTTCATTTCGATGCGTTTAGCAGTAAGTGGAACAAGTGGTTTACAGCTCGCGACTGGAAGTCGAAACGTCTACAGCCGCTTGCAACTCGCACGTCGAAGTCGACTGAGGTATTTGAGGTACAAGTTGTTCATCGCTTTACTTCCCAGCCTTCGTCTGCTACGGCGTCGGAATCCGGCCAGACAAGTGGTGACGATCATTCGTTCACTGGGAACCTTCCTAATTCGCAGAAGCTGAGCACTTCGAGTTCCCACGAACGCCCGACGTTGAACGTGTTCGGTACGCCGCTATTTGTCACGATTGCATCCGATAAGACTGCTCAAGATATGCACCAGGCACTTTTCCTACAGACTGCTCGATTTTGGCGAGAGTTTAACGGTGATCCCGAGTCTACTGGCAACCACAGCGACTTGAACCAAACAAAACTACCGTATGAAGTCCGCGTCGTGAACTTGGAAGACCTAACGAGTGAACGTGGCGAGCCATTACCGACAGACTCAAGCGCGTTGCTGCAGCACTTTTCGACGCGAAGTGTGCTAGCACTGGACTGGTTTAATGTTCACGACTACTCAAGTTGCGAAGAACGAGCGTCCGATGACGTGCCTGATGAAGTCGTCGAAGCCGCTAAAGCGGATCCGGACTTGCGCGCTGATCTTGATGCTACTTTATTAAAAGAAACAACAGAGGCAGAAGAGAAGGTGTCAGTGGTAGACGACGATAGTCCACCGATGTATGCTGTCCCGCTGACCAAGTGCATGGATGCTCTAATGCGCGAAGAAGCTATTTCCCTGGAAGATCACTGGGTCTGTGAGCGCTGTGGTGTTCCTCGTGAAGGCACTCGGTTATCTGCAATCTGGCGACTACCAGACTTGGTTATGGTGCAGCTTAAGCGCTTCCAATATCTCGAGAACCAGCACAAGCAGAAGGTTCGCGCACTGGTTGACTTCCCGCTTAAAGGTCTGGACTTCTCAAAGTGGATGGGTCATCAGGATGCAGGCTCGTCAGTGTATGATCTCTATGCTGTGGCTAACCATGTTGGAGGACTCACACGGGGTCATTACACGGCGTATTGCCGCTACGACGCTGACTTCCCGGAGAGCTCCGCGCTCTTAAAAACGAACGAAGAGAGTGGCGATGTCCAGTGTCCCGAGCTCTGGTTCCGCTTCGACGACGAAAAAGTATCTGAAATCGCAGCGGGCGACGTGGTCACTGACGCCGCCTACGTCTTGTTTTATAAGCGCCGCACCCTGTCACCTCACAATGTACTTCGATATGCACTCTAGTAACTATGAGATAGATAAGAAAAAAAAAAAATACTTACAACAATGAGTTTCAAAGGTGCAAGCTTCGGTTCGTCTTCCTTCGAGTTACCCGCCGACCTGCTTGCAACCCCTCTAATACCACTGCTTCACGCACAACGTACCAAAACAATACCCGCTTGACGCATCTTGCTGTTCATAACATTCTCTAAATGCCGCACAGAAACTCCGTTGAAAGCGCACCGTTGCTGCTGTCGACAGCGGCATTTCGATGCACTCGTTGCAGCTCCTCCTCAAGCCGAGCTGTCGTCTGTTGGGCTTGATGCAATCTCGATCGCAGTGTCGCACGCTCCAGTGCCAATCGCTGGATCGTCTCGGCGGGCTATGAATATCGAGGGGCAGAAGGCGAATGGAACCGCAAGAGAACGTCGTCGTCCAGAGACAGAAGCAGAAGAAGTACCAGAGGAGTCGTCAGCACTCCAAGACCAGCTGCGCACTACTACAAAAGAGCAGAATCCATACACAGCAAAGGCCCAACACGGGCCCAACACGCCAGCATTAGACCTTTGCGACTGAATGCTACCGCATTGAGCCCATGCAGAGCCTGCTCTACAACCACTTACTTACTTTAGCGAGGGCCTCAGTGTCCACTCCATGCGCACTCAAGTCGGTGATGTCGGATCCAGAACGTTGAAGCCGCAAGGTGGCAATTTCACGTCTTAATCGTGTCAATTCGTCGGCTTTACCGTCCTCGCTTGTAGTTTCAACATCTTTCTCTTCCCCCGCGGCTGCAGCCAGTAATGTAGAGAGTAACTGGAGATTGGCGCCACTACGTTGTCGCTTTCCTTGCAGGTCACGCACCGTTTCCAAGAGCTTCGCATTGTCCTCCAGCGCACGGTCCAGCAAAGTCTGGAGTTGAACTGGAGTCTCATCACTGGTTGCTGTCATCTCCGATGCCGCTGCGGTCGATTGCGATACCTCCATCTCTCGTTCCAGATCTTCAATACGCTTCTGCGCTGCCCGAAGAGCGCTAGCGAGCCGCTGCTTGTCGTTCTCGTCATCTCCAGACTCGCTGCTGTTGCGTAAACTGTGCTCTAGTCGTTCAACTTCACGTCGCGCAGCCGCCTGCTCATGTTCCAAAGCGCGTGCATCTTCCGCCGCCTTCTCATCCAGCACCTGTGCCATTTCATCGCGTTGAGAACGCACAGTTTGCTCCAATTGCTCGAGCTTTTTCCGCAACTCGTTCTCCGCCTGAGTCTGCTTGGCTTCTTCATCGGCTGCAAGGGTTCGCAACTGTTGGAGTTGGAACTCTGCGAACTTCGTAGCAGCACTCGACGTTTCCAGCTCATCTTGTGTGGTCTGCAGCTCCTTCTCTAGACGCTGAATCGTGTCCTGATACAAGTCCAGCTTCCGTCCAAGACACGAACTCAGCGCATTCACACGACGGATCTCTCGGTACGTATCGCTGACGCCTCCATCGCCATCTTCACTTGCATCGAAGCCATCCATCGACATGCAGTCGTCACCGGCCTCGTCCTCGTCTCCTGAAGCGTAGCTAGTCGAGTTCGAGTCCGTGACCACTGAAGACCCAGATTTCGGACTCGGTGGACTGCACAGCACCGGTCTCTTCGTGTACATGAGCTCTGTAACTTCGTCGAACAGCGAGCGGTACACGTTCAGCAGTTCCTGCATCTCCTGCATCTCCTCGCTTGGTACAGTCGAAGCTTCCAAGATAGGCGTCTCCTGTTCATCCTCTTCGCTGTCTTGATGAGGATCCATGGGCATGGACACAGCATCACTAACACGGCGCCGTTCTTCTTCCACGAAGGCCTTCCACTCTAGCAGCTCGCAAAGTTCATGACGGATCAGATCATTCTCAGCCTCAGCCTCTTGAGAGCGCCGCAGCAGCTCCTCGATTCGATTCTGCTGCTCTTGAACCTTTTTATGCACCTCTCGTTCCCGTTTTTCGGCTGCAGCTAGCGCCGCCGCAGTCTCATCGTCATCTGCAGAGTGCTCCTGGTTGTCTACATGATGGTAACGCGCAGTAGCACTGTATCGCTTGGGTGTGGGCAGCATCGACATCCGCGGGGCTTGAAGTTTACTTGGCTTCAGTTGGTATGGACGGCGACTGTATTTGTACCGATCTGGGTCAAATGTGACCTCCTTGTACTCCTCAAAGCGACAAATCATGCGGTACAGCAGCATTTCAAGACGATCGCAACGGATCTCCACAACTTCTCGCTCTTGTTGCTGAATTTCTTCTCCGCTCTCCTCTGCAATATCCACGGGGGCCATAGCACCACTTGCACGCAGCAACTTCTGCATCATATCTAAGGCTGGTTCCCATCGGTTCTGCTTCTTCTTTTCCTGAGCTTGAGCCTCTGATTCTGCGTCATCAATCGCTTTCAGCCGCAGCAAATGCTCACTCTTCGAAGGATCAGAAGTATCATGAGGCATTGAGCTGATGGAGCCAACGCTGCTACGCAAAGCCGCGATTTCTTGCATCAATTTCTCGATCTGCTCTTTAAGCACCGGGACTAGCGAGTCCGCATCCTCGTTCTGTACAGCGTTATTCTTGATAAACTTGGCGCGTTGGGCAAATTTCAGCGTGCTCAGCGTCTCCGTAAAGTACTTCTCCTCGGGCGAAATAGTAGCTACAATACTCGTGATAGCGTTGCCACCCAGAGCGTCACGCAGAAGGAACGTAAGCTTCGAGTCGCGGTAGTGCACGTGTCTCTTTTGGCCGTTGCTAACGTCAACCAGCGCCATGATCACGTTGCCCAGCGCCGACAACGACTTGTTGATCTGTGCAGCCTCCTTCAGTCGCTTGCCGTGGACTCGTGTCTGTCGCTGCTTCTCACTACCTGCCAGATCCACCAAATGCAAGCAAGAACGTCGAGTACGCTTCACACCAGCCGATGTGCGCTCCTCTAGCACCAATTTGACCGAGAAAACCGCGTGCGAGCGCGAACTTTCGCGATTCATATCCGTTGAGGAGATATGGCGGTTTTGCGATCCAAGCTGCAGCAACGTCAGCGCTTCCTCTTCACTACCCACGTCGATCTCACGCAGCTGATCCACATAAACCTCCTTATTGCGATCTTCCCGAAGACTTTTTGGCCGCTGAGCAGCAACGGAACCTGTAGGTTCCAGCAAATCAAAGATCTTCTCGTTGTAAATCTCCAAGTACGAACACGCCAGCGTGTACTGCAGTGCTCGTTCCTGCTCCTCCCCACTATAAAACCCAGCGTTGCGTTCACGTGACAGCGCTGCCAGCCTCTGGAACAAATAGTCTAAAATACGCGGCGTCAGGCCACGCAATGGCGAGAGTCTCAGTTCATGAGCATCTGCTGTGGCTCCTCCAAGCATCGTAAAAGTTTTTCCCGAGCCAGTCTGTCCATAGGCGAAAATGCTGCCGTTGTATCCCTGAATAGTATTCTCCACCGCCGCTCGCCCTGCATCCTGGAAAATATCGTCTTGTTGGCAGCTCTCAGTGAAGACTCGGTCGAAGCCGAACCTCTTCTCCTGTTGCGATGACGGCGCCAACGTCACGCCGCGTTGGTCCGGTGCCACCTCCAGAACCTTCTTGCTGTCTTTACCAGGCGACGGACGGATACGTAACAGTACTCGGATATTATCTGACTGTATATCGGGATCGCTAGTGGCCACGAAGCTCGAAGCAGAAGGCACTGGACTGCTTATTGGTCGTGGCACCTTTGGAAGAGTTTTAACTGGAGTTTGAAGCTCTGGCTCCTGTACCTGATTGTTTGTGTGAGTGGCAGGGAACTGGAGTCTCTTGGCTGGACGTTGGAGCCCCGGAGACGGCGTCCTGGCTGGTTTTGCTCCAGATTCTTGAGCTTTGACGAAGCCCGCGCTGGGAGGGGTCAGGAACGACGGTTTGGGCGATTTACGGCCGCCAGGGCCTGGAATACTGCGGTGCAAGTATGAGATTAACGTTAGAAGAAGGCTATGAGCTCTAGAGAGGGGAAGTACGCACCGAGACGAAGGGATTGGCATTTTTCAGCCTCTGGGCTTCTCTGTGGGTAGCCAGTCGCGCCTGTTTGTCTACAAGGAGTGTCTAGGAGTCGTAACTGAAGAGAAAACAACGAGTCCACGTGCTAAGCCTCGCGAAGCCGTGGGAATGGCTAATGCGGCCTGGCTTCTTCCGGAGGAAGCAAACGCAGGTAGTTCGGCGCACACACTCTAGTGGCCGAACTCAAAATGATGGAGAGAGTGGCTTTTACGCTAATTTATGGAAGGTTACGTACGAATTAGTGCATCCGGCTCGATAGATTGATACAGGGGTTCAGTATGCAAGAACACAGGGATGTGACATGGCTACGATCTGGTGTCCTTTACAAAGAGACACAAGTTGAAGTGACAAATTCTAAAACTTTAGGAAGACGCTCAATTCATGAATTATGCATTCTATTCTACGTCGACCTACTGCGCTGCGCTAGATGATCAGTTGCTTAGGTCACCGCGCGTACACTTCCTTACAGGAACTTGCTGCGAATGTAAACAATCGGGTTGATCTCGGACTTCTTCGGCACAAACTTGGCGATGGCATCAATCTTAGCCTTCACCTCGGGCCCCCTTTGTCGGCGGAGTGTTCACCGCGCTTCGCCACACAGTTCTATCGTGTACTACTGACGAACTTACCGAACGATTTTCATCGGAACGGGGTGATCTTGTCCACTAACTCCAGCGCCTTGATGTTCTCCTCCAGCTGAGATGGATGACTCGCACCGATCATCACAGCCGAGACGTTCTCGTTCGAGACGGCCCATGCAAGCGACATCTGCGCAAGCGTGCAACCGAGCTCCGTCGCAATGGGTTTGAGCTGGTCGGCCATCACCACGCGTTCCTCAAAGCTTTCAGACAGTTCTCCTTCAGTGTACATTGTTGTCGTGAAGCGTGAACCCCCCCCCCCCACTGCTTACCGGCGCTGTACTTGCCAGTCAGAGTACCGAAGGCAAGCGGAGACCACGTCGTCAGACCCAACTTGTACTCCTTGTACAGGTCAGTATACTCGTGGTCCACTTTGTTGCGCTCAAGATGTTGTACTCCGGCTACTCCGCGATGGGGCGAATCAACCCCAAGCGGTCTGCGATCTTGCACGCTTCACGAATGTCGGCAGCGAACCACTCGCTGGTACCCCACCCAGTAAAAGGCACAGCCCTGAAATTCATTGCACGAACAGCTTCCTCAATCGGAGTGTATGGTTCAGGGCGGTGGTAGTAGATGATGTCCACGTAGCCAAGCTGTAGATGGCCGAGTGCAGCATTCGTGCCCTCCACAATGTGCTTGCGTCCAATATTCAGCCCGGAGTCCTAAATTCCTTGAAACCTCCGAAAATCTTGGTTGTGATCACCAAATCTTCGCGGTTCCACACTCCTCTTCAATGATGGCACCACCCCATGTTTCTTTCGGACTGGCCGGCGCCGTATATCTCGGCAGTATCGAAGAAATTGATGCCGGCTTTGAATGCAGTCTCCATCATGGCGTACCTTGCATCCACGGTGTACTTCTCGTAGTATGGCATCCATGAGCCAAGACCAAACTTAGAAACGATCAGACCAGAGTTGCCAAGGAAGCGGTAAGTCATCTTGGCGGTTGTAGATGAGGTCGACATGGCGATGTTCGGAGCGAATGGAACGTTCGTTGTGGTTTTTGAGGTTTGGAGTAAATCAAAAGTGAGATCTGCAGAAGGAACAGTCTCGTGCAAAGCAATATCGAGTAGCCAATTAATTATGTTAGGCCATGGTTTGACTTTGCTAAACGGCGGCATAGATACATTGCGTATTGAAATGAGAACACGAGCCCCTTGCTGACGTGCAGTTCAGTGCACATAATGCCCGGGGATTGCTTTACCGACACGACCATCTGAGAATACCAACACTTGATACAAAAAGAATAGATAATCATTTGACCGACTGTGGTCGATTTCTTAAGCAATTGCGTTTGAAGTAGTTTCTCTAGAGGTGAACAGTAATTGAGCGAAGCATGTATTCATGAACAAAAATGTTCTGAACGATCGAGCTTATAGGTTGGTTTGCATTTTTCAAAGTTAACGAACTACGGTATCCGTCAGCACTAAATCACAGCAGCATTCACCTACTGTCCATCGGTGTTGCCGCTTTGGATAACACTAACACGAAGGTAGAAATGAGCGTCAACACACCCCTTGGACTACTTGACCAGAGTTTAGAACTTATTCAAGGATCTATTAACAAAGATAAATGATCACATCTACTACTACTACACGTCTTGGTTGCTTCATTGACGTTGGTCATACTCACTCTTGGCTTCTCGGACTGCGGGTGATAAGGACAACGTCTGGGTTAGCACCAAGAAACTTATTACAGTAGTATAAGATCACTCATACACTCGTTTTATTAATTATTAGGTGTGTCGGCCTCCTTTAATCTTCTTTCGAGCTACTGCAACAAAATGCGTAAGCCGTGAAGCCGAGCTGCATGATACCGCAAAAGTGGGGGAAAAATGCATTTCTGGGCTCGAATTGGTGCAACTAATCGATAGGGTCTCATGAAATATTAAAAACGAGTGGATCGCTTCACGAGTGCTTGATTCAAAAATAACGGTCGAGAACTGCGTAGAATAGTCGGTCATCTGTGGCTCCACCATTTCCATAGGAGGTGAGGAACTCGAATGAACTTGTTTTTCCATAATCTTTTCCATCGTATGGACCGATTTCACTATATTCCAGAACGAATTTGCTGATCACAGCTCTGACCTCTGCCCAGGTCAGATATAGCTTACATCCGACGTTGCAGTCATGTTGCGGCGATTATCTTTGCTGCTGTCCTATTCTAAGCATCGTCATCTCAAACAGAACACTCACCCTCGTCATTCTCGTCTCGTCCTCGTATACGAATATATTTGTTGGCCTTGGAGGGCAAAAGCCCACATAGCGTGGCTTAACGCCTTTCGAAGGCACAACTCTCAAGATCGGCGTGTGGAGATATAAACGCCCTTCAAGATGATGTACCCGGCCACGCGTGGGCCTTCGTCAAGGGTAGCTGTAGATCTCGGTCAGACGGACGGAAGTCACGACGATGGTTGGCCAACGAATGAACCGAACCAGTTGCCCCCTCCTGGGCCCCCACAACCTGTGAATGCTCCAAGGGTGCGGTCATATTGGCGTCGACGATACGAGCTATGGACTCGCAGCGATGACGACGAAACAAGAACCAGGAAGGCGTACGCCCCGGGTACAATTGCGACGCTCCCAATGTCCATGCAGATCGCGTTCCGGCGCAAGATGTTGTCCATCTTTGCGCTTCAATTAATGGTTCTAACTGCTCTTGTGGCCTCATTAACGTACGACTCCACGTTGAGTGAGTGGACGCATAATACCTTCAAGAGAACTGTCGACCTATTGGGGCCTCTTATCGGTTCAATTGCAGCTCTCGGCGCTGTCTATTTCGTGCGCACTCGTTTCCCATTAAACTGGTTCATGGTCGCAGCTTTCAGTGTCGTGCTAAGTCTTTTGGTGGCAGGCGTTCAGACTTGGTTGGATACTCCAGCAGGTTTATTTTGCTGCGGCTTCACCTTTGTGACCGTGTGTGTCATGATCGTGCTTTCGGGTCTATCGTATCGATACCATGGAGACGCAATTCCTTCGGGTCCAAGTGCTGGTCTACAGCCCGACTCGGATGGCGAAGTGGTGCTTCGTTCATCACTGGTTTCTGGCTGTATAGCGTTTGCCGTATCTGGTATCATTTCGGGTATTATTTACGGCATTTTGGGCGGCAGCGATAACTTCGTATCGCTAAGAGCATTGGGATACTCATTGGCGTTGGAATTAGTACTCATTGTCTGGTTCTCCTACGACGCTAGTAGCATGTACAGCATCATGACTCCAGACGAGTACATGAGTGGCGTCGTGTACTTCTACGTGGACCTCATCGTGCTTACGTGCGCCGCCTTCTTCCTTGCCGGCATCATGTTTGTGGCTGCAATGTTTTGCCCCACTGCAAGCTTTGGCTACTGCAATTGCAACGGCTGTCTGTGCTTCAGTCGAGCGCGTCACGAAGAAGAGAACGACGACGCAGGTGTAATCCCGTACGACGTTGATGAAGACGGGACGATTTCCTACGGTGTGGTCGAGACTGCCCGAGACGTAGAACGTGGATAACAACCATCTTTAAGTAACCATACAAAGCGATAATGTCTACAGATCAATGCAAGAAGTACAGAAGATCCCTTCGGTAGTGATCGCGTTGGGAACCCACAATTTATTCCTGTCTAAGGGTATTCCTATTCACGTATGTACCATAAAAATGATTCCGAGTACTTTTGGTTTGGAATAGTGCGGGTGCCAAACTGTACAAGGTGGGGGAACTCGGCAGGCAATTTGTTGGAGTATTACTTGCTGGAATGCTATGCCACCGTCCCTCTTCGCTAGGTGCTGGAAGCACACCGGGCTTTTAGACTACT